CTCTTCTAAGGATGCCTAACCTGAAGAAGTTACCCTCCTCCCTCCGGACAAACCTCAAGGGATCTCTCTCCCACTGATCCCTCTTCTATCCGCCTCCCACTCTCTCCCTATTTATTTCAAAACCCCCTTCCCCTTCCCCTTTTCTGATGAAGGGTCTAGGCCCGAAACGTCAGCCTCTCTGCTCCTATGATGCTGCTTGGCCTGCTGTGTTCATCCAGCCCTGCACCTTGTTGTCTCGGATTCTCCAGCATCTGCAGTTCCTACTATCTCTGATTCTATTTAAAAATGTACTCATTTTCTCCTGACAGTTCATCATAATCTTATTTCTCAATTCAAAAACTATGAAGAGAAACAGGAAATGCTTTTATTTTCACCATTCTGAATGGTCAGTTCAGTGTGACATCTTGTTTTGATTTTGCATTCATTTTCATGCAGCTATTTTCCACAGCGCACCAGTTTTCTGCAATAGTTCGTGAAAACATGCTCATATCCCATCCAGCTTCTCCCAGATGCACAATCCACAGACTGAACTATAGGAGCATTGGTAAAATGTTTACTTTGTTTAAATAGCCAAATTTAACCATCATTGCACTTCACATTGAATTACCCAACAATGAGATTGCAACAGCACTGGTATTTAAAACCCATCTGGGTTCACTAATGTCCTTTAGGGAAGGAAACTGCCATCCTTTCCTGGTCTGGCTTACATGTGCTGCCAGACCAACAGCAGTGTGCTTGACTCTTAACTGTCCCCTCGGCATTTAGAGACGGGCAATAAGTGCTTGTCTAGCCAGTGATGCCATCATACCATGAGTGAACATTAAAGAAAAAAATCAAATCCCTATTTTGTCTCAGGCAGACTTGGGGCCTGCTTCATTATCTATCTGGGGCAAAAGATCATGACACTTTGTGGTGATTCAGCAAATAATCACCAAGGACCTCCCTTCAAGCAGAGAAATTAAGAAGAGATTTATACTTCTGGCTCTTTACAGACATTTGTAAAACCATGTATCCGTCTTTGTAAACCCAGTAACAGTCTTATCTTTTGGACTGCATTGACTGCATGTAATAGCAACACCATTTGAATTACTGTCACTTCCAAACAAACTCTGTACTGCAGAATCTATCAGTACATATTTCTTTTAGTTACCTTGTGCTTGAGTGATTTGTCTGTGGTGGCAAAGACAATTGCAGCAGAAGCATCCCAGCCATTTGTGATCCAAGCTTTTGTGCCATTTAAAATCCAGTGATCACCGTCTAATTTGGCAGTGGTAGAGGCTGCACCAGCATCACTTCCATTTCCTGAAAACACACAGAGTCAGACTGTGACCAACGATCAACAACTCAAAATACAATATAATTAATACAATAATTAACAGTATACAGTATATAAACACGATCATGTGTGAACAAGGGTTCAGACTCAAACCAATGCTGGGGTCCCTGAAACTCCAATTCATCAACAGTACTTTTCCTACATATTTTGAATCTAATGTTCACTGGAGATGCGTACTTGGTCTTCTTGTAATAATTCTCAATTAGAAAAAAAACCCAGCAAGTATTATTTTTGGCCAACATACAAGCTTAGCATCTATATTCCACTTTATTTTTTAAACGTAGGTCTTACTTTAATGATTCTCCAAGTCTATAATTTACCAGAGTATAAGGCACAGCTCCCTGATCATATTGTGCTAAGTGTTTAAGACAATCAAGTCACACCCTTTGAATCTTTGAAATCGCCGACATGCTACTGACTTTTTCAGGGTACTCTGCATGGCATTCTAGTTTAGGCTTGCCCAAGGTCTTACACTTAGACAGGAACATACTTTAATTTTGTGTTGAATTATTTAAAGATTTAAGCAATTATTGAAACCAGTACTCAAACATACAATACTTGCCATAGCATTGCTGCACTGGCTGTGAATCTCCAGATTCATATGGAATGACATCTATAAGACCATAAGATATAGGAGCAAAATTAGGCTATTTGGTCCACTTAGTCTGCTCCACCATTCGATCATGGCTGATATGTTTCTCAAACCCATTCTTCTGCCTTCTCCCTGTAACCCTTTATCCCCTTACCAATCAACAACCTATCCATCGCAGGCTTCAATACACTCAATGACTTGGCCTCCATAGCCCTTTGCGGCAATGAGTTCCACAGATTCACCACCCTCTGGCTAATGAATTTCCTCCTCATCTCACTCTAAAATGTTGGCCCTTCACTCTGAGGCTGTGCCCTCGGGTCCCAGTTTCTCCTACTAGTGGAAACATCTATTCTACGTCCACTCTATCCAGGGCTCTTAGTATTCTGATAAGTTTCAGTCAGATCCCCCCCCTCATCCTTCTGAACTCCATCACGTACAGACGCAGAGTCCTCAACCACAGTTCATATGACAAGCCCTTCACCCCTAGGATCATTCTAGAAAATCCCCTCCGAAACCCCTCCAAGACCAGTACATCCTTCCTTAGATATGGGGCCCAAAACTGCTCACAACATTCCAAATGCAGTCTAACACAACCTTAGCAGTACATCTTTGCTCTTGTATCCTAGTCCTCTTGAAATGAATGCTAACATTGCGTTTGCCTTCCTAATTGCCAACTGAACCTGTATGTTAACCTTCAGAGAATTCTGAACTCGGATTCCCAAGTTCCTTTCTGCTTCAGATTTCCCCACCTTTTCCCCGTTTAGAAATTAGTCTATGTCTCTCTTCATCCTAACAAAGTGCATGACCTCATACTTTCCCACATTTTATTCCGTCTGTCACTTCTTTGTCCACTCTTCTAGCCAAGTCCTTCCTCAGCCATCGCGCTTCTTCAACAGTAGCTGCCCTCTACCTAACTTTGTCTTCCTTGTCCTCAATAATCTAAAATTTTCAATGATTTACACATGCTTGGTGATAGCCCTACCTATATGATTAACACTAAAATTATCTATTAAGTGACATCCGCCTCTTTCTTTCTTTTTTAGGCAGTCCTTCAGGATCAAGGATGATTTGCTTCCATGGTGGCTCTATGGTTAGCACTGTTGCTTCACAGTGCCAGGAACCCAGGTTCAATTCCACCCTTGGGCAACTGTCTGTGTGGAGTTTGCATGTTTTCCCCGTGTCTGCGTGGGTTTCCTCCTACAGTCCAAAGATGTGCAGGCTAGGTGGATTGGCCATGCTAAATTGCCCATAGTGTTCAGAGATGTGTAGATTAGGTGGGTTATAGGGGGATGCATCTGGTGGGATGCTCTGAGGGTTGGTGTGGACTTGTTGGGCCAAAGGGCCTGTTTCCACACTGTAGGAATTCTATGAAATCTATGATGAAATCCAGTTTGATGGCCTTTAGCTTACAAACAAGGAGCAGCGGCAGGCCATTTCGCCTGTCAAGCCTGTACTGCCATTCAATAGGAGCTGATCTGAAAGAAACCTCGAATCCTATTCTTGCCTACCCTTGATAACTTTTCTTCACCTTGCCTAACAGGAAACTATCTGCCTCTGCTTTAAAAAAATTCAAGGACTCTGCTTCCACCATCTCTTTCAGGGACTGAGTCCCAAAAACACACAACACTCAGAGAAAGAAATTCACTTCATCTCTACTTTGAATGGATGACTCCTGACTTTTAAACAGCAATGCCTATTTCTGGATTCTCCCACAAGAGGAAACATCCATTACACATCTACCCTGTCAAGAACCCTCAGGATATATGTATTTCAACAGTCGCGTCCAATTCTTCTAAACTTCAACAAATTCAAGCTTAGCCTGTCCAACCTTTCCATGTCTGACAACGCACTTCATTCCAGCTAATTTTCTGGTAAACCTTATCAGAACTGTTTCCAACACATTTTATGTCCTTCCTTCACTAAGGTGGCCAGTACTATGCACAATACCCCAAATAAGGTTTCACCAGCACCCTGTATAACTGAAGCATAACTTCCCAGCATTTATATTCAAATCCTTTCACAGTACATAACATTCAGGAGCTTTCATAATGACCTGCCGTAACTGCATATTAACTTATTGTGATAATTGAGCAAAATGTTCATAGAAGACCAGACACCAATTTCTTTGAGTAGCAATGGTGAATGCTGACAGGGCTAATGTTCAGAGATCTCCTGCTTCGGTTAGGAAAATATCCATACCTAGTGAGAGATAGTGGAATTGTGCAAGAACAAATACAGTATGTTCAGAAACATGCAGATTACTGGGCCAAACAATGGCACACTGCACACTAATATTTTGTCGAAGTGAACAAGGTATTATGATAACTAAACTGCCCTTAAAAGACTTTTCCATTGGTAATGTAGAAGGCTTTTCTAACTCATAGGTACCATGGTTACTTGGCATATACCCTCAATGTACCAAGTCTTTATGTACCAGGATTCAATCAAAGACGGTGGCCTACCTGGTTCACTCAGACCAAAACAGCCAATTTTATTTCCATCTGTAAATGGAGTTATCCAGTTGTTCTTTTGTTCTTCTGAACCAAATTTCAAAATTGGACCCAGATATAACGACTGGAAAAGGAAGTGAATGTTTACTATATATTTGGCAATATGAGAAGGCAAAATACCAACCTGGTACAAATGACACATGTTGATCTCTTGGTTAATTCTGTGATATTCATAGTAATGAGAAAACTAAACCTAAAAAATGAGCCTCTGCACTTTGCTTGAATTCGGTTCCTTAGATGCCATGGGCTTTGATAATATGCCCAATTATGAGTAACGACTATTCACATTCTGATATCCACATGTGTACTTACAGTAGAGATCATTAGGTATTGAAGTCAAGGACCTAAATTATTCTTCCCTCTTCCAAACAAAGTACAGCTCAGACAACTTTCAGCAAGTCCCTAGCCATGCTCTGCCGTACTGTGGCTGCTGGTCTCCCAGCTTAAGTAAGCTAACGAACTGAAACAAAAACAGAAGTTGCTGGCAAAGCTTAGCAGGTCTGGCAGCAGCTGTGAAGAGAAATCAAAGTTAACGTTTCAGGTCCAGTGACCCTTCCTCAGAACTCTGTCACTGGACCCAAAGCATTAACTTTAATTTCTCTTCATAAATGCTGCCAGACCTGCTGAGCTTTTCCAGCAACTTCTGTTTTCATTTCTGAGTAACAGCATCTGCAGTACTTTCGGTTTTTATTAACATATGAACTGGAGTTTTGGATTTCAGCCTGCTCCTACTCTATGGTTTTGTTATTGGTGTTGACAGCTGTACAGTTGGGGGAACCAAAATGAGAATGCTTTTCAACAGTATCACAAATTACATCAAAGACTGATATCAACAATTCCACAGAACATTCATAGTATGCAAATATATCATTTAGCAGGGATGTTTTTTATTACAACATGAATGGAGTTATTTATCACAATATATGAATTCTAATTAACAGAGCAACCTGTTGATGCTTCCCCTAATGATTGTATGGATGATTGTCCATTTAGCCTAGTATTGAACCACACAGATCAGGAAGATTTTAAGGCATGAAGTTGAAACCACTGAGCCCCACCAAAGGTTTCCATAGGCGATGCTTGCTCCTGCGTGACGTTACTGAATTTGAATGACACAGCATCCATTTCCTGTATTTGAGGCTAAAGACCTTGAAAGGATGCTATCATGTGTGAGAGTCAATCAAACAGACTGATGCAATGCCAGGATACAAAGTTTGGTCAATGAGCAGAATACTGGGAGAGATAGATAGCACGTGAATAAAGAATAGTAAGCTAACAGGCAGGGTCAGATTAAGGGAGAAAGCAATAAAGATTAAATCAGGGTTACTGTGCATCTAGGTGAATGCATGGAGTATAATAAATAAGAGTTACAGTCACAGATTACCAGGTGGTAATAGGATGTTACGGCAATAACAGATACCTGGCTCAAAAGAGGACAGGACTGAGTGTTAAATATTTCTGGATATAGGTGGTCAGGAAGGCTAGGAAAGAAAGAAAAAGGCGGGGTGGCAGTGTTAGAGAGTATAGTTTTGGTGCTGGAGAAAAAGGGTTTCCCAGAACAGTTAAGGATGGAATCTATTTGACTGGAGCTAAGGAACAAAAAAAAAGTTGCCATTCCATTATTCAGTATATTCTATAGCCCACCAGCTAGTGGGAAAAATGTAGAGAGACAGATCTGAAAGCAAACTACAGATAGGTGCAAAAATTATAGCATGGTTAGTGTCAGGGAATTCAACTATCTAAAAGTAGCATGCATTAGTACTGTTGTAAAAGGAGCAAGAGGTCCCACAGTGTGTTCAGGAAAATTTTCTACAGCAGTCTGTTATCAATCCAACAAGAAATGAAACAACACTGGGTCTGGTTCTTGGGAATAAGATGGACCAAGCAGATCAAGTGTCAATAGGACTGCAGTTAAAGGACAGTGATCATTGTTTCATAAGGTTTAGGCTGGTAATAGGAAAACACAAAGAACAATCTAAAGTAAAAATAATTAACCACAGGAAAGAGCAATTCAATGGTAAACTGATCTGTGCCAAATAAATTACAGTTAAATGTTGGCAGCAAAAGCAGTAACTGAACAAGGGATAGAAGATTCAAAGAAATGGCATTTCAGGCTCAGTCAAGATATATTCCCTCAAAAGGGAAAGGGAGGTAAAACAAAACCAGAGCTCCTTGAATGATAAAAGAAATAAAAATTACGATAAAGAAGAAAAAGTATGCTTGTGACAATTGTCAGGTGAAATATACAACTGAAAAGCAAGGTCATGATAGAAGGTCCAGAAGGAAGGTGAAGAAAACAAATAAGAAACGCAAAGAGGGAGGAGAAGAAAAGGCAGTCAGCTAATGTCAAAACAAATCCCAAAGTCCTTTGCAGGCATCTAAATAGTGAAAGGAATGGAGCTAAGGTTTTATACGTGGAGGCAAAGAACATATCAGAGGTATTAAATGAATACTTTGCATATGTCTTTATCAAGAAAGAAAGTACTACTCAGCCCCTTGTAAAAGAAAAGGTAATTCAGACAGTGGACGGGTTAAAATTGAAAAGGAGGTTGTATCTGCTCCTATGATGCTGCTTGGCCTGCTGTGTTCATCCAGCCCTGCACCTTGTTGTCTCGGATTCTCCAGCATCTGCAGTTCCTACTATCTCTGTATTGAATATGCTGTTGTACTTAAAGTCGAAAAGATATCATGACCAGGTAAGATGCACCCAAGGATGCTACAAGAAGAAAGAAAAGAAATTGCAGAGGCACCGGCCATCATTTTTCAATTTTCCTCAGACTCCCGGGTGGTGTCAAAGGATTGGTGTATTGTAAATGTTACACCCTTGTTCGGAGAAGGATTTAAAAATATGCTCAATAACTACAGGCCAGTCAGCTTAACATTTTATGGCGGGGAAACTTCTAGACACAATAATTCAGATGAAAATTAATAATCACAAAGACATATGCAGAATATAAAAGAAGCCAGCATGGATAGTTACAGTTTATGAAATAAAAGGGGCAGAAGCAACAAGAATATGGAAATCGCTGACTGGTAGGAAACACAGTCATGCTTAACAATGTTTCTCAGGTTGGAGGAAGGTTTGAAGTGGAGTTTCCCCTGAGGTTAACATTCAAATCCTTGCTTTTCCCGATACTTATGATTGACCTAAACCTTGGTGTCCTGGCACAACACCAAAACTTGCAGATGATACAAAACTTGGAAGCATCTATGAACTTTAAGGAGGATCGTATAGGACTTCAAAAGAAGACAGATAGATTAGTAGAATGGAGGAAAAAGACAGATTAAGCTCAATTCATAGAAATTGAAGAGATTCATTTTGATAGGGAGAACATGGGAGAAAAACAAAACAATTCTAAAGTGGTGTAAGGGTAAGGACCTGGGTTTGTACGTGCATAGGTCATTGAAAGTATTAAGATGGATTGTAAAAAATACTCTGAATGGGACAAGGAACATTAAAAAGCCAAGCCTTAAGAGTTTCAAACGAGAGGAGAAAAAAAACAAATAAGACTGCCACGCTGGGCCGAGAGAACGCCACGTCAGGCCAGGAGACCACCACGCCGGGTCCACGCTGAGATGGAGGGTCCAAGTCTGCACTGAGGCTGCGAATTCAGAACATTCACGAGAAGAAAGAAGGAAAATAAAACACAAGACAAAAAATAAAAGAAATGTACAGAGCAGACAAGATCCAGCTGAGGAGTCCTACTCTGCCACCATCTTGGAATTTAATAGTGGGGTATTGTAGGGATCGTTACTGGGACCCCAGCTATTCACAATATCTGTTAGCTATTTAGATGAGAGAACTAAGTGTAATATTTCAAAATTTACAGATGATGCAAAGCTGGGTGGAAGTGTGAGCTGTGGGGCGAATGCAGAGAAGTTGGAGTGTGCTTTGCACAGGCTCAGTAATCAGACAAATGCATGGCAGATGCAGTATACTGTGGATAAATGGAGATTATACACTTTGGTAGCAAAATTAGGAAGGCAGAGTATGATTTGAATGGCTGTAAATTGAGAGAGGGGAACGTTCAAACGAGACCTGGGTGTCCTCATGCTCCGGTTGCTGAAATTAAACATGCAGGTGCAGCAGGCAGTAAAGAAGGCATATGGTATGTTGGGCTTCTTAGTGAGTGGGTTTGAGCACAGGAACAAGGATGCCTTGCTGCAATTATACAGGGCCTTAGTGAGACCACACCTGGAGTACTGTGCGTAGTTTTGGTCTCCTTAACTGAGGAAGGATGTTCTTGCTACAATGGCAGTACAGTGAAGGTTTACTAAACTGATTCCTAGGATGGCGGACTGACATATGAGGAGACACTGAGTTCATTAGGATTGACTCACTGAAGTTTGGAAGTAATGGGGGGAGGTGGGGGGTGGGGGAGGTTCTCATAGAAACCTGTAAAATTCTAACCAGACGAGACAGGTTAGATGCAGGAAGGATGTTCCTGATAGTGGGGGAGTCCAAAACCAGGGGGCATTGTGTAAAGATAACGGGTAAACCTTTAGGACTGCAATCAGCAGAAATTCCTTCAGCCAAAACATTATATGTTTTCAAGAAAGAGATAGATATAGCTCTTGTGGCTAAAGGGATCAAGGGATAAGGGGGGACAGCAGGATTAGAATATTAAGCTCCGTGATCAGTCAGGATCATATCAAATAGTGGAGTAGTCTCGAGGGTCAAATGGCCTACTCCTGCTCCTATTGGCTATGTTTTATATTTCTGTGGATACGTTGTTCCCCAATTAAACATTCATATCAGACTCAGCCTTCACTGTGTTAGTGACCTTCTCTTTTACAGGGAAGGCTACCTGGAGTATGTCACAATGTTAAACAGACCCCTGCACTGCACAGATGTCACCAGGAGCACCAGAGAAGTGCAGTGCAGGATCCACTCTGGGCCACCACACAATTAAGGAAGTGAGGTTGATCCTCCAATTATGAATCCTCCCCATCTTCTTTGGGCTGGTTGCAAATCACAACCCTCATATTCAAAAACCTAGGCACACCAATTTCTATATCTCGAGGTTCAAGTGTGAGTCTGTGTTGAGTTAGAACTTCAGGCTATGGAGCAGGAGAAGTATAAGGGAACAATGCTAAAGAAGACTTTTTATTCACTCTGTGATATAGGCATTGTTAGCAAGGCTAGCATCTACTGTCCATAGCTGGATGCCCTTTCAATAGTTAGTCACCTTTGTGAACCACTATAGTCTGTGGGGTGAAGGCTCTCTCAGGGCAGATTTTGAAACAGCAATGATCTACGTCCAAGTCAGGATGGTATCAGATGGTATAAGTTGCAGTAGCATAAGCTGAGGAAGTACTGAGGAGCAGAGTGATCTCCGGGTTCATGTTCACTGTTCCCTGAAAGCTGCCACCCAGGTGGATAGAGTTGTTAAGAAGGCGTATGTTGTGTTAGCTTTCATTAATAGAGGGATTGAGTTCAAGAGCCGTGAAGTTACGCTCTAGCTATACAAGTCCCTGGTTCGGCCACATCTGGAGTATTGTGTCCAGTTCTGGTCACCTCATTACAGGAAAGAAGTGGAAGCGTTGGAAAAGATGCAGAGGAGATTTACCAGGATATTGCCTGGAATGGAGGGAAGGTCTTATGAGGAAAGGTTGAGAGAGCTAGGGCTTTTCTCTTTAGAACAATGACGGATGAGAGGTGGTTTGATAAAGGTGTACAAAATGATCAGAGATTTCGATCTAGTGGACAGACAGAGACTTTTTCCTAGCGTGGAGGTAGCTATTATGAAGGGGCTTAGTTTTAAAGTGAGTGGAGGTAGATATAGGGGAGACGTCAGAGGTAGGTTCTTTACTCAGAGAGTGGTAGGGGCATGGAATGCATTGCCGGAGAGGGTAGTGGAGTCGGCCTCATTAGGGGCATTTAAGCGGCTATTAGACAGGCATATGGATGATAGTATAAGGTAGGGGTGGAGGTTAGATAGACTTTAGGTTTAGGTAAAAGTTCGGCACAACATCATGGGCTGAAGGGCCTGTACTGTACTGTTCTATGTTCTATGTTCATCACGTAAACAGTACACACTACAGTCCCTCCTGATTATAAGATGTGGCTCTGGTAGAAAGTTCTGTTGAACAGCCTGCTAGCCCTCATCACCCAGGTTCATCTATGAAGAGTGCGAATTTGAGTGAGACATGACAGGCTGCTGTTATGCATTTTAATCATATGTCAACAACACAATAGATCAATACATTTAAGAGAAAACTAGAGAGGTTACTTGGAGCCATTGAATGTCTCACAACAATGGTATGTACATGTACAATAAGGTTATACAACTCTGGGCCATTATATTCCACTTGTACTTCATCCTCATTAAAATATCTTTACACAAAGAGAGTAAAATGAATAATAATCCTTTCCAAAATACAAAAGCATTTAAATATCAAATGTATCAGTATGAGTAACTCAGAACTGCTGTAACTGAACATCTCAATAACTGTTAGGTTGTGTAATGTCATTCTGGATGAGGTAGGAAAATTAACAGCACATTTAGAGTCTGATTAATCAAAATCTAAGCCCTGAACGACTAAATGACTAGAATTACAAATGTAGCCCTAAAAAGATACTAAGGAATTAGTTCACTTGACGACAATCATCCAGTGAAAATGGAAGATACCTATTATATATAATAGACTTACATTATTTACACTCATGATTACGCCAGTAGAAGCACAGCCTCGGCTTATTTCCTCCATAGCAATGGCATATGCCAGATAATCCAATCCTGCTCCACCATACTTCTCAGGCACATCCATTGCCATGAGTCCCAGTTCTCCCATTTTCTTTATCTGACAACACATAAATAATGTTGCAATATCACAACAGGACTCACACTTTGAAGCTAATGCATAAATGCAGTAATTAACAAAATGGGGTTTATCATAAATATGAACGAAATTTTGATTTGTATAGCATCTTTCATGAATTCAAGACAATCAAAAGCACTTTACAACCAATTAATTCCATTGTTTAAATGGTACTTACTGTGCAATGTGGGAAACCATGAAATTAGAAAAAGACATGACATCCTCCTGTTTTTCAGGTCTTTGCAACTACAGCACTATTTCACCCATTCAATATCCAGAGGGCAAGTTCTACATATAGACTTCTATGATCCCTAAAAATAATCAAAAAAGCTGTCCCATAATACTATTTTTCTACCATGATCTGTTGCCCAAATTATTGCTGTCTTACTTCCAAATGGCAACAAAGGGATGTGTGAAAAGGGTTAAAGAAAGCATGTTAGGTGACAGAATACTACGCTTGATCTTAGCCAAAAGGCCGAGAAGCAATGGGGCGACATAGTGGCTCAGTGGTTAGCACTGCTGCCTCACAGTGCCAGGGGCCCAGGCTCGATTCCACTCTCGAGCAACTGTCTGTGTGGAGTTTGCACATTCTCCACATTACTGCGTGGGTTTCCTCCGGGTGCTCCTGTTTCCTCTCACAGTCCAAAGATGTGCAAGTTAGGTGGATTGGCCATGCTAAATTCCCCATAGTGTCCAGGGATGTGTAGGTTAGGGGTGGGTTATAGGGGGATGCTCTCAGGGTCGGTATGGACTGTTGGGCTGAAAGGACCTGTTTCCACACTGTAGGGATTCTAAGAGGACTAAAGCACAATTTAAAGCAGATCCTGACAGGTGCTATAATTAATGTCGTAAAGAGAACTAGCAGATTACAATTTGTTTGATAGTTGCTTTGAAATACATACATATTTGAACATTTTACATTTTTCCCATTAAAACCATTCTACAAACTTTGGCGACTTTACAAGAAATGGTTCGGTATTGTGATTTGAAAGAAACAATATAGTTATTTAATTCACAATTATTGCTGAAGGCACTATCTGCCAGACCAAATGTTTAAACACATGAACTAAAAGGAGCTAGTTCCACCAAAATCCAGCTGCAAATAGCTGGTAAGCTAGTTTCCTCTGCCAAATGGTCACAGAATCCTAGAACCCTATAGCAGGCATTCAGCCCAGAGTCTACACCGACACTTTGAAGAGCATCCCACCCAGACCCACCTCCCTAACCCGCCCATAGAATCCCACATTTACTATGGCTAATCCACCTAACCTGCACATCCCTGGCCACTATGGGCAATTTAGCATGGCTAATCCACCTAACCCACACATCTTTAGACTGTGAGGAAACTGGAGCACCCGGTGGAATCCCATGCAGACATCGGGAGAATGTGCAGACTCCACACAGACAGTCACCTGAAGGTGGAATCGAACCTGGGTCCCTGGTGCTGTAAGGCAGCAGTGCTACACACTGAGCCACCATGCCGCCCATGGTTACCTTTTTACTCTTGTAACGAACCAGTCGGCCTTGTGCAGTATTGCTCATGATGATTATATAGATTAGAGTACTACACCAGGTAATTTAGAATAAATTGCACACAGACATTGATCTTATGTTGCATGGCTGACTAGAAATAAAATTAAACATATATACATGGAACAGATTCCCATACATCAATGAAAAATGCAACATATCAAGTAGTGGGAAGGCAACTTGATCTATTTGCTGATCATGGATCAGTAGCTTTTGTAGTGCCCTACTTTACAGAAGCATTGTCACTGTTGGTAACATCCCACTGACATGGGACATGCACAAATTCTACCAAACTAACATTTTCAGACTAAGAAGAAGGGATTACCCTAACACTAAAATGAGGAGAATGGCAGTGTATTATAAGGATTATGAAAGTTTACTGGAGAACACAAACAGGTTAGCAGATATCAATCGATGTAGAAAAGCATGAAGAGATACATTTTGGAATTAGGGATAGAGGAAGGAAATGCGTTATAAATTATTTAAAATGAAATAGGAGAGCAGGACCTTAGACCTTAAAGACCAGATCATTAAAAGATAATAGTGCAAGCAGAAAAGGCCATACCTGCCCCCCACCCACCCCCGACCAAATATTTGTGATTGAATCTAGATGTATAGAATACAATACCTACAAGGTAATATGTGTGCAAGGTTTCAGTGGGACAGTAGTTGCATATTGTGTACATTTTAGGGTACTCCATTATAGGAAGAATATAAAAACAATGGAAAAGGTCTGTACGCATTTATTAGGATGTTAACTGTACTTTTTGTCATAGTTTCAAAACAATTCAAGAAATTAAAGCTATTTTCAAAGCAGTTGAAAAAGCTAAATGGTGATCCAATAATACTGCAAGAACTATGAATCATTTGGTAAGTAATGATGGATTGTCTTGTCAATGAGATGGTAATTAAAGGACACAAATTTAAGATAATCAATCACAAAAAGAAATATGGGAAATATTATGAGAAAAATCTTTTTGCAGAATTGATTAGAAGGTAATTGGTCACAAATGTGTCAAAGGAAAGTTTATAAATGTTGGAAAAGATTAATGTTTATAGGCGATCATATCTTTACCACATTTGAGTTTAGAGACTGCTTTGTGCAATGGCATTGCAACAACCAGCATTGTCTACTGGACACATCACTAGGAACGCAATCACTATATGTAAATCCACAAAGTATAAATCACCGAGCTACTCACTACACTTGACTTCAGCGCCTCTGAATCATGGATGAGCAAATAGATTTTGGCCCCAATCATGAACCAGGAACATTTATGTGTATATTTCAGATGAGAACCTCATGTTATTGATGGTGACAATTCACAATCTCCTAATACCATCAGAATTGAGGTATGGACATTTGGCTAAAATACTGTATTACGGGGTACTGGTACAGCTATGAGTGATACTGGTAATAAATGCTACATTAGGAACATGGTGTGAGGATGTTTCGGGGCCGGGTGGGGAGCAGGTGAGGGAAGATAAAGACATTCTAAAATTTGTCAGAGATGTGGGCATAATGTTGGGTCTTTGGTGTCCCTGAGCAATACAGGAAAATATTACTCCAGTGACACATTTTGAATGTTTGCATGTAGAGGTTAAGTGAGAATATGATCTGGTTCAAGTGTGATTTTCCCCTGTTAAATCTGGGTTGGTAAAGATTGGCTGGTCATTTAACGAGTATGTAGCAGATTAAACATAGGGGATGCACAGATTTTGGAAACACTGGCTCATCGCTTACTGCGCCCAGACTTTAGAACCAGAATGGAACAATTGAGGGTTTTGACCTTAGTGCCAACTCTGCATTATCACTACCTGATCAGCTGCCTATTATATATCTCCCCCACTTTCCATTTGTATCGAAATCAGTGGGAAATAAGAATTAAGTAATGAAAAAGTGGGTGGATGCTCCAATATTTCCCACATTACAAGACTGCCCTATCTGTACCTGTTTGTCTCCAAGGACCAAATTAATATCCGTAGATAAATGTTTTTCTTTAAGGCGTGCTTCCTGTCAACGCAACTTCAGGGGGTGCACCTGCTACACACGCAATCGTTGTGACAGAGACGTCACTGCCCATCACCAAAAACTTAGCAACAACTAACTTGTAGAAGAACATCACTGTTCACTCTGAAAACCTGCATTGCTAAAGAGATGAAGCAACCAAACCACCCATACTCTGCACTCTTTAAAAGTATAAATCACTTAATGCAATTACAACGTTTAAATACAACAGATATATCATAAAATTATCAGTTCTCCAAACACTCTGTAATTCAATTAAACATTTGACCAGAAGTCACCTTATTCCAATTCAATAACGTAAGCATGACTTGCTGGAGGTTTATGTTACTACTTCTTGACTAAACAGGATTTGGATTTAGCCAAGTCTCTGAGGAATAACAACAAAATTTAGCTGCAAGAGCTGTGATTGTACCATTCAAACACTAAGGCAAAGGGGTGGTAAGTAAACCAGTGAAGTAGGCCAGGGGAGAAGCTGGTGAGTGAGGGGGCAGTGAGGGGAATGGTGAGGGTGATGGCAAGCAATGCAGCGGTCAGAGTGGTCAGTGAAGCAGTGAGGGAGCCAGTGAGGTTGATGCCATGGTGGGAGCTTCAAGCAGGTGAGTGAGGGAGATGATGAGGGGCCAATGAAGGGGGGTGGGGGGGCAAGGGAAAGATGCAGTGGGATACGCATAGTGATGGGAACATCAAACAGAGCTGCAAGGGATGGGGTGTTTGGGTGTCAGCAAATGGGGTAGCAAGAGGGCAGCATTGGGTGATAATGGGGAGGGCAAGCAAGGCTGTGATGGGGCTGGCAATGTTTGCAGTGTGCAGGCTGGCGAGCAGAGCAGCGAGTGTGAGGGGGCAGCATTTAGGTTCAATAGACAATGGGTGCACAACAATGATATCAGCTGCATCGCATATGCAATGATGGACACAGTAGATGCCAACTTCCTGTTCTGGGTACACCACGACAATATCAGTCACACTGACTTCCTGTTCTGGTGCAGAAGTAGAAACTTCAGTCTTATATTAAAGGTGATATATAAATATGGCCTGTCTTTGATATTTATATCTCAATCACGTAGGCATTCTTTAAGCTTTCTATCCCTTCTTGGACTGTTCTATTTTTGAATGTATGAAATTAAGTGCTGAATTATCTCAAATTTGTTTTTCCTGTCTTACAGTGTCCTTCCTACAGTCAATTATAAATCTGGCGAGTCAATATAAAACTACATGTACTATTTTTCCAGCTGTTCATAAATTCAATGCTCTGATATTAGGACTGGGGAAGGAACAAAACCAGTTGTTTGACCCACACACAAAAAGAAAGTCTGTCACCCATTTTCAAAGTCAACAATGGAAACTAGCTGACTGTTCTGAGATTCTGAACAGATTACCTGAAAACTTCTCTTGATTGGTTATATCAGTTTTGAATGCAGGAAAG